AAGCCACTAGGCGAACACCTTAATAATACCCACTAGGCCATACTTAGATAGCTGTGTCACTGTGTCACTGCACCTCTGCACAGCACTCTTGTCCAACTGCGTGTCCGACAAGTTACCTACAACCATCCATCCACAGCCATCCTTGCATCGGAGCTGACCCTACCTCCGACACCTCATTGCACCTCGATGTGCAAATACATTCTGTACGCAGATGCGCAGAAGTCCATGTGCGCAAAGCCAACTTCTCACTTGCATGGTTTTGAACTCCATCGTCGACCCTCGTCAAAGTGATCCACCAAGTACCTTGCCCAAAGCATTACGTCAAGCACCTGCGGCATCCAGCTTTCATGCCAGTGATGCAAGTCAACTCTTGCCCAACATATGGCAGCTCACGCCGCGTCCATCCATAAATATCTGATCTACTAGCCACTCCCTCAACCCCCGACCACAGCCTCGACATGCATTCGACCTTTACCGGCGCCTCAAGGCGACCTCGAAACGTAAACCTAAGCGGACAGGCCAATACCAATCCTTGGGCCAGCTCGGGCTGGGGTTCTGCCAGTTCCGGCGCTTCCAAGACCGTAGCCCAAGCGCAAGCCGAACGCGAGAAGAGACAGCGTGAGAGAAACGAGCTGGCCTCAACCAAACGAATACAGAGAGCATGGAGGGGACACAGAGCCCGTCGACAGGTACAGGCCGACTTTAGGCAGGAGTTCGATGCCCTATGTCAAACAGCATTAGCGGCAGCCCAACCCTCGCAGCCACGGATAACAAAGGCGCTATCACTACTCCTGGCCCTGTTCGATCCTGCACATCCCGACGACCAACGACGCTTAGATGTCTTTGTTCAAGAGCTGCTAGGCGTAGGCGATGGTGCAAGCAGCTTGCCCCCCGTCGATACGTTACAATCGAGGTCATGGTGTAGACTTGTACCACTGCTAGTCGGGGCGCTGGAGAAGTAGGTTTACACTCTACTATCAGAGGTAAAGCGAGTGACTGCTAATACATGGTTTGAGTAGGCGCCCAGCCAGCTCTTCTTTCGTTCTTGTCCGCCTTCTCGTGCATTTCGGAAGAATACAGCCAGGGTCCCTGCTACCCGTATCTGACCGATACTACACCCTTCTCGCTGGATATTCTCGAGAGACTAGACATATGACGAATGGCTCTGAGCAACACCAGATACTTACGGATGCTGTCATAGCACCATTACATTCTGCGTCCGACGATGTGTCTAGTCTTCGAATTTACCAAGCATTTGCCTACTCATTCCTGACATCACCCGATCTGTCTTTTGTAGAGTGCAACGCAGCATCAATCACGGAAAGTATAGATCTTCAATTGCTGTCTTGGAGCATTGCCAGGACCTTTCAAACCCCGGATATTCTGAGCAAAGTACCGAAGGACGCTCTACTATTTCTCCTTGCTCACTACATCGCTCTGAATAGAGCAGTGTCTACTTTACAAGGGTCAAGCTACCTTGAGGCTCTCTATCTTCAACTCTCGTGGTTGGCAGTTGACATACGACATAGATTCAACACACCAGAAGTCATGAATAACAATGGCCTGTATCGTCAAGATGATGAGGATGATGGTGCTCATATCAAAAATTCCTTACCACTGCCTGAATACGTTGTCAGCCAACTGGATTTCCTAGTCAACGAGGACGGAATCATGGAGCTGCTCAGTAGATTCATTTCGTGAGTTCCTTCTCCCTCCTGATTATACTAGTTCAGAGCTCACCATTTGCTTTAGGACTGCTTCATTTTCTGCTCGCTCATCTGAAGATGCCAGCCTTCTTGCGGGGTACACTCTTGTGCTCTTGCGTTGCTTTCCAAGCTACGGTGATGATATCAAAATGCGTCTATTCCAAGGTGATATATCCATAGCTGACCACGGCCAAACCAACTCTGTCCCATCTGTCAAGTTCTTCTGGCGAGCGGCCTCAAGGACAAGCATATTTACTAGCATCAAACAGCCAGATGCCCAGAAGAAACCCATGTCGGTCGTCGCGCTTCTGAAGCAAGACTCTGTACGAGATTTGGAATGGCGGACAGTACTTCTCTTTCTGGAACTCTACAATTTCCTTTTAAGGGTCACTGATGATGAAGATTTTCTGCCTTCAGAGGCTCAGATACTCTCAGAACAGAGTCCAGCGACTGCGCGGATACGGTCGAGCGGCCTCAATCTAGACGAGTTGAAGGCATTGATACATTTTCTGAAAAATCTTTCGTTCCCCTTGTACTATAACCTGCCCGAGATCATGCCTCGTGCAGCTCAGCCAGGACGTCTCAATGCTCTCATGGGAGTTGGCCTCAGCAGTTCCAATGCCCAGGAGAAACTTGAGGACGCTGCGCCATCATTCGCAGGCATCATTGGTATGGATGTTCTGGGTTTACGCGATGCACTGGTGACCACCATGCGCTCTTTATACGAGAGAGATTCTCGACGAGCCTTCCTGCCCAAAGGGTTTTGGCTGATGACATCTAAATTCGATATGGACGGGTTCATATCGGCAGTGGTCTTGGAAGAAGCTCGAAAGGATGAGTTGGCTGAAGAAGAAGACGACGAGGACGAGGATGATGTGATTGCGCTGGACGGCTTCCATACATCTGCTGGGCATAGGCTTTCACGAGCAGCACAGATTGAGAGACACCGACAGCTGCGAAAGATTCAACGCGAACAGCTGCTAGGTCAAATCGGCCCGAAGCTTGAGATTCTTCGAAACATGCCTTTCGCCATTCCTTTCGAGGTCAGAGTACAGATTTTCAGGCAGTTCGTGTACTTAGACAAAGTAAAACGCCGAAACGGCCATGTCGATGCCGATCGATGGCGCCTAGCTGTGATATCCGGTGAAGGCTTCGACGGTACTGGTGCGAGAGGCAGAGATATCCTGGGCCGTCATACAGCCCAAGTCCAACGAGGTCAAGTATTCGACGATGCTTACGAGCACTTCTTTCCTCTAGGAGAAGGCTTGAAGGAACCCATCCAGATCACCTTTGTGGATCAGTTTGGAACTCAAGAAGCTGGAATCGATGGGGGTGGTGTCACTAAGGAATTCCTCATATCCGTCACTAATGAAGCATTCACGCCTGGCCCAGACGGCCATGGATTCTTTGCTGCCAATTCTCAGAATCTCCTGTACCCCAATCCTTCAGCTTTCGATAACCAGGCCGAGCTCTTGCGGCTTCACGGCTGCAAAGAAGGCAGTACTGAGTGGAGAGACGAGATGGCTGATCTAGCCAAACGTTACGAATTTCTAGGTCGTATCGTAGGGAAGTGTATGTATGAGGGCATTCTCATTGATATATCTTTTGCTGGCTTTTTTCTTCTGAAGTGGTCCTCGTCCGGACAGAGCATGGCCACAGCATATCGAGCCAGCCTGAACGACCTTCGGGACCTCGATCCAGAACTCTATCAAGGACTCATCAGCCTCAAAAACTACCCTGGTGATGTTACCGACCTTTCGCTCGACTTCACCATCACGGATCAGTTCGTAACCCCACAGAACGAGGTGCGCACCATTACGCACCCGCTACGTAAAGACGGTGAAAACATTCCGGTCACGAATAAGGACCGTCCGCTTTATATCTCATATGTCGCGAACCACCGACTCGTGGCGCAACAGTATAAGCAGACACAGGCGTTCCTTCGTGGCCTGGGATCTATGATAAGCCCTTCTTGGCTATCGATGTTTAACCAGTCAGAGCTGCAGCGTCTCGTTGGCGGCGACAGCTCCGAGATCAATGTGGAGGACTTGCGACGGAACACCATGTATTCTGGCTTGTATGTGATTGGCGATGATGGGGAGGAGCACCCAACAATTCAGCTCTTCTGGCAGGTCATGAGGAAGCTGCAAGACTCGGAGCGCAGAGACGTTCTCAAATATGTGACCTCGACGCCAAGGGCGCCGCTCCTGGGCTTCTCGCAGCTGAACCCACCATTCTCTATCCGAGACGGAGGCACGGATGAGGCGCGCTTGCCGAGTACAAGTACGTGCGTCAACCTGTTGAAGCTCCCAAGATACACAGATGCCAAAACACTAAGGGAAAAACTCCTCTATGCCGTGCAATCAGGGGCTGGGTTTGATTTGAGTTGAGCCAATGAAGATTACGCGAATGTATTTATGGCCGCAGTCGGATCTTGATCGTGTGGCTGCAAACTCAGAAATCCTCGTCTCGTCCACATCTTTGACTGACTTTGATGATTGAGAATGATTCACGAATGGCTCATGCTTTGCCTTGGGGAAGAAAACGATTTTATACAAGAAGCGTGAGATCAGCTTATCAAGATGACAAACCTACTTCTATACACAAGTTGTAACTTGTTTGGTGATGGATGAATCCAGCAGTGTTTGTGCGGACCTCACTGTTTTGGCAATGAAAGAAGGTGAATTGTGTAAATGTAGACCCAACTCCTCATCAGGGGCTGAATATACGTATAACTAAAATCAGGACTTTTGACAGTGGCTTTGACTGCTGTAGGCTGCATCGCAGGGGGAACAAACCAAACCATCGTACACTTCATCGCTCTCAGACACCAAGCCCTACAGCAGTCTTTTGTTGGTTTTGGTTCTGTTGCTAATTCTGTTGCCGACGCAGACAACACTTCAGGCCTAAACAAATTATCTCTGCAAGACTAAGCTTACCAACACTTTGCAGAAACCTGTGGACAAGGCGCCTTTGTGGGTGCAAAGAGGTGTGTTTGCTTTGTGTTATTGAACATAATGCACATAAATTGCAGGGCATTTCGGAGCATAATCAATCCATTGTGTAAGTAGGTGGAAAAGAAAAAAAATTTTTGTCTGCAGCTGCATTTGGCAACAGCGCGTCACAGGTTAGGCCGGAGGACCGGTTGCATTGTTACAGAGCTCCGTCCTGGGACAAGTTACAAAATCATGAATGTGGAAGGTACGGCACGGAATGTTGACATGCACTAATAGTTCATTTACATGATCGAGAGTGTTCAGAGGCGATATTGAGATTAGAAATACAAAAAACATGAGCCCAATCGCGGAATCGAACCGCGGCTTTTGGAAGGTCTGACAACTGAAGCTGTATCAAAATCCAATGTCCTAACCGCTAGACGAATCGGGCGTATAGCATTCGATCGCTGGAAACGGTCGCCCGCTATATGTACCTATAGCTAATACACTGTAGCGAGCTGCGCCTCTGGACTGTGGCTTAATAAGAGCTTGGCTTATTAGTGGCTTGGGTTAAGATCCATCGTTCTGGGCCAGAATGCTTGTTAAAGACGAACTCTGGGCAAACATGAACGTAAGGTACTTGGGCACTGGCCCAAGGCAATGCGATTTTCTTCTCATGTACAGAAAGCCCATTGAATGCCCGGCAGAGGAAAATCGAAGCTTGTGAAAACCACTGTCCGGATCTTTTGGTTGAGCTGCTGCTTGGTATGATTGCTGCCTCAATCGCCGATTCCAGCTACCCAGGTGAGGATATTTACTCAAGGCTCTAGAATTCAGGTTGAAGCACACACAACCCCGCCTTTTTTGTTCTGTTCCTCACACCAGCATCAGCCGAGAGAAGAAGAATTGGAAAGATATTTCGAAGCATCATCCATGTTATTGGGTTGCATATCAGCTTTGACTGACACATAAGCACTTCTTCAAAAACTCTACGCTCATACTTCCCTTCTGTGGCGCTAGAAGCAACAGCTGTATAATTGGCTTAATTAAGGTGCATAACCACGGTATCGCTGAAGTGACTTGAGGTGTTCATCCTTCCCTCCTATCCAACATGATGCAATCTCCTCGGCACGCTTTGGGTCTGATATCGTAAGGAACAACACCGAATATCTATATGGCCGGAAACCCCCGGCTCTACTTGGAGTCTTCCAAATGTTCGCTTGGCAAGTGGTCGTTGGAGTGCCCGTAGTTCACTTTGCCAAGGGCAGCTCTCGCTTTCAGCAAAATTGATTGCGATCCGAAATCAGTGTCAGCCACGACGACTTTGATATATCCACAATGTCGTGACTTAGGTACTATAGGTGCCTGGTACGCTACCCTACATTGTCGAATGATCAATATGAACTGGTACTTGTCATGTGGATTGTTAAATAGTGTATCGAAAGTCTGGAAGCCCATCTATGACTTTCTTCCCCTCGTCAGCACGCTTATTCTCCCAGTGGAGGATCAACATTGAAACGCAGGCTACGATGACAGCAGCTATACAGATAGCCATTACGGCAATGATACCGGGAAAGTAGTTAGGTGCGTCCTGTCACTTGTCAGCATGCCGTTTCTATTCCACCGAACCCTATCCAAGACATCGGACTCACCTGTTGGCGGAATACCAGTGACGAATAAATGCCTCCAATACCGCTGATAGTGATCATGATAGCCGTGGATGCAGCGCGCTTGGCATCTCCGCGAAGATTGTTGGCTTGCCATGCCAGAGTTGTAACCACGAGCCCGTTCACTCCAGCTTCGCCCAAGAACGTGCCAATGTACCTCGGCACAGGATTGGTCAGATAACCAGTCATCGCTAGACCGATAATGGCGATGATACCTTGAAAAATCACAAAGGGACCACGCAGACGCATCTTATCCGCGAGCCATGATACCGCGATGGCCTCCAGGACGGAGAAGAGAGCTGGCGGAGCCGAGAGGACGAAAGCCAGATCGAGCGAGTAGTCCATGCCATCCCGCAGGATAATGGGTAAGAAGAAGAGAAAAGCGTACACGCCAACAGCTCCAGCCATGTACATAAGCGAGAACGCCCAAACTTTCCAATCCGTCACAGTCTCGACGAAAATTCCCCAGGTGACCTTCTGATGCTCTTCCGCACCACGGTCCTCAGCAAGTCTTGCCTTCACGAACGCGCTCTCCGCTTGTGAAAGAAATTTGTTGCGACCTGAGCCCGGAAAGTCCACGATGACGAACCAAGAGACAACGGCGGCCGCGCAGGTGATGACACCCTCGATGATATAAATCCATCGCCAGCCTTTATATGGATGGGTCTTTGCAATCTGAATCAATCCCAGTGCGAAGATATTTGCGAATGCTGACAATGCCGACCCGGTCATAAAGAACACAGCAAGTCTCTTTTGCACTTCATACCGTCTGTACCACGAGGATATCAAATACTGGTAAGCAAGATGTTAGTTAGGATTATGTTCGATCGCGGAATATATTTTCGACCAGAAGGATTAGAAATAAGAGTAATCAGAAAAGCAACAGCGAGAGGATAGTCATAAACTTACCACACATCCAGGATAAAACCCAGCCTCAAATACGCCCAAGAACGCCCTGAGCACTGCCAACGCTACCCAGTTGTCACAGAATCCAATCCCCATCGACACCAACCCCCAAGCTAAGGCAATACCGGCTAGCCAATTCGCAGCTCCAGCTCTTTGAATCAGCATATTGGATGGCAGCTCGAAGATCATGTAGCCAATGAAGAAGACGAGCAGAGCAATGGAAGCGCGGTTGCCCTTCGCCAGGCCGACGTCCTCGTCGAGGCCGGATATGCGAGCCACGGAGATGTTGCTGCGGTCAACCATGGCGATCGTGTAGAGCGCGCCTAGAATGGGCACGAGACGGACATCGATTTTGCGGAGGACACGGGCCTCGAACTTCCTGTCGTCTTCAGAGCAGAGAGTGGACGACAGTCCAGGGCTGCCTTCGATTTGGGTAACCGAGGCTCCTTTTTCGGCCATTTTCTGTTCATTCAAATGAGTCTATATTGAGCATAACCATTATTTGTATGTGGGAAAGCGACAGATTCTTTTCTTCTTTCGCATCCCCGCTCTTCAGTCATGATAGGCGTCTGTCGACCTCCACATCACGGCCTACTAATGCGGAGTTGCGGGGAGGAGGTAAATCATGGGGTCGATGAGGCATATGGGGGACGGAGACTTGACCGATGGACATGGCGGGGCTCTGGTTTATTCTCATTATTGCGCGATGCTGCTTTCAGTACGGCAGAACCGCGTCGTGCCGTAATTGTCTTGAAGTTTAGATTCATTGACCGTGTCTAATTTTGGTCATTCTGTCGCCCCAAACGACGTTCTCTCTTTCGAAGCTGTATGAAGACGAGGCAAGGCGACTGGGTAATGCCGCTGAGCAGGGACATCACGGAAAGCGTACTTGTGCAGCGCACGTGAGAGATAGCACCATCAAAACGGTACTGCAGAATGTGAGGCCTTCCATTTCGTATATAGCAGATGGAAGTGGTCAATAGCAATGACTGTCGATGATATCTGGAGTGTACCTGTCGTGTTAAACCTGCTGATCGGGTTTTGGGCGGACGCTGACGGGCCCACCGATGCCATTACCCCAGCCGAACCCCAGGTTACAGCAGACCTCCTTAGGTATGTATGTACTCTACTCTAGGTACTCGGACCATGGCGGCTCCACTGCGATGGATCTCCGAAGACTTGGGTACAGTACCTACTGGTAGATACAGTACCTCCGAAGAACACCGCCGAAGTCACCTCTGAACTGCTCCGAGACAACTCCGTCCCTACGGATCGAAAAGAGGGCACCACCCAATCTTGGCATCCTCGGTTCAGGTCGACATGCGCCGGTGGTAAGCCCTAGGCAGGCTTTACTTTGCCGTATGGGGTCATCGAATCATTCGATGGAAGTTTTGTTGACGAAAAGCTGCGAGCGCCGGCAAGGACACATTATTTCTCGTGTATTTGCTCCCCATTACTCAGGTTGACATCGGGTGTGTCTTTGACCGTAGCGCAGTCCAGGACCAAGAATATTAGACTCCTGATTCCATTCAAAGCTATCGCAGCGTATCTACTCGACACTTTGACCGGATTGAAACCATGGCTTCTTTTGTCGAGAACGGCGTGACCGTCACTCCTCTCACTGCTACCACATTCGGTGCCGAGGTCTCTGGCATCGACTGGACCGTATCCCCTTTACCCCAAAGCACCATTGAAACTGTAAGAAGTTTATATCCTAAGTTGCCCTTTCACCCGCGAGTTCGTTGCAAACTGAACCCCCGTGTACATAGCTGGCCTCACTTCAAAACCGATATGCCTTCATTGTCTTCCGCAACACGGGCTTGGATAACGATCGACAAGTCAGTTTCGCGGCCCAATTCGGCCAATTGGAGGAGAATCCGGCCTGGGGAGGAACCGGAAGAGTTGGTAGTAAGTACCTGTTCGACGTGAGCAACCTCGAGGCAGACGGATCTGTTGTGAAAAAAGGCACGGTAAGTAGATACCTATGATAGTCTCTTCTTCAATATGAAAAGAGACTCGACGTCTCTTGGAGCTCCCATTTGGTGACGCTTCTACGCAGCGACGATGGGCACATTCCCTAGGTAATGCTCTGTGGCATACGGACTCGTCCTTCAACCAACACCGGGTCAAGTACTCGCTGCTTCTCTCCCACTGCATCCCGGGAGTGGGAGAAGCCAATACCGAGTTTGCGGACACAAGGCAGGCTTGGAAAGATTTTCCCGAAGAACAGAAGGCCCAGCTTCGCGATCTTGTTGTAGAACATGAGTGAGTCCTCTCTACTCACCTCTGAAGTCCCGAGCTTAAAAAAACCCGCTTTCAGATTGTGGCACTCGCGTCGCCTTGCTTCGCCAGACATATACAAAGAACCTACGGAGGAAGAGCTTCGTACACGGCCAGCGTCCTACCACAGTCTTGTGCAGCCGGCGCCTAATGGTGAGGAGACGCTGTTCTTGGCTGCTCATGCGAAGCTGCTCTTCACCAAAGATGGTAAACAACTTGAAGACAGCCAAAAGATCATCTGGGACCTGATAACCCACTGCACACAGCCCAAGGTATGTGCATGGCACGAGCTACAGTGACCTATTTTCAGGATGTTTCTTGCGCTGACTAAGGTGACTGAAGTACACTTATTCGTGTGAGTGGCGGTCTGGCGGGGACATGATCTGGTGGGACAACAGGCAATCGATGCACCGCGCCACTCCCTACGATGAGAACATGGGCCCAAGAGACGTGCGCAGGGCAACTGTACTGGACGACGGCGAATGTGCCTTTGGAGTGCCTAACCCTCGAAGTGCGGCCATGACCGGGGCCACAACCACTGCTAGCAAAACGGTCTCCAAGGTTGAGGTGGCGGCGGTGGCGTCTGCGTAGAATCGCG